TGCTCGCCCAGTCACCATTTGTTTTTTTTTTACTTTTTACTTTATTTTTTACTTTAGTTCGGAGCTTAAATAATTTTATTATTTTTTGAAATTTTTTTAACGAGTTTTGTATAATGTTAGGTACACATTTTAAAGATTTCAGGGCATTTGGCTGTACCAAACAAAAATGGAAAAATCGTCAAAGATGGTGGTGTCGAAAACGTCCTCGCTCACTTATTGATTTTAATTCTTTTTTTTTTCTATTTTTCGTAAGTTTTGATTTTTATTATTAGTTTAAGTTTCCTTATTTTATGCCTATTTCAGAATAGGTAAGGAATTTGGATGTTATTCTCGGACAAATGTTGTTTGTTTTATTTTTCTTCATATCATATGAGTTTTCAGATTTTTTTTTTTTTTTTTTTTTTTTTTTTTTTTTTTTTTTTATGGTACACGTTCGGCTCGTCCCGAGCGCCGGTTTACCCTATATATATTAACAGGGATTGTTGCGGGGATGCATATGCAACCAGCATTTTTTCGAATGCGACAAAAGACTAGAAAGATAACTTTTGTGAATTCGTCCTTAGATTGCATTGTGTTTATGGAAAGATAGCGAATGTATATTGGCAATTTTTTGGGTCTCATTCACACAAAATGAACGTGGATCGTGTTCCTTGAAGTGTTTGCTCTCTCTCTCTCTATCTATCTATTTATGTCTCTCTCTCTCTCTCTCTCTCTCTCTCTCTCTCTCTCTCTCTCTCTCTCTCTCTCTCTCTCTCTCTCTCTCTCTCTCTCTCTCTCTCTCCAACATCAATTTTCCTTTAACACATCATTATTTGGTTTATGCTACATCTGATTTGAGAAATATAACTTGCATACATTCCTTTTCAGAGTGCCTTGTGCTCAAGAGAATATACACCCAAGCTCTCTCCCTCTCTCTCTCTCTCTCTGTCTCTCTCTGTCTCTCTCTGTTTCTCTCTGTCTCTGTCTCTGTCTCTGTCTCTCTCTCTCTCTCTCTCTCTCTCTCTCTCTCTCTCTCTCCATAACAGCAACTTCCGTTTAACACAACGAAACCTTATTTCTGTTACATCTGATCAGAGAAATATAACTTGCATTCATTCCTTATCAAAGCGCCTTTTGCATATGTAACACGACATACGTTGTACAGGGCTCGGTTCGTACGGTCGTACGACCGTATGAATGGTCCCGTACACAACAGCGAACCCCCCCCCCAAAAAAAAAGAAGAACAAATAAAAACATATGGGGATGTAAAGCATTTCGTGCTCGAGAACCTTACATTTTTTATTTTATTTTTAGTCATTTTTATATTTAAATTTAAAAAAAATCATAAAAATAAAAATAAAATAAAATAACAAAATAAAAATTGATTGATAGATTGACTGATTAATTGATTGATTGATTGATTGATTGATTGATTGTATGATTGATTGATTGATTGATTGATTGATTGATTGATTGATTGATTGTCGATTAATGATTGATTGATTGATTGTCCAGTGATTGATTGATTGATGGATTAATTAATTGACTGATTGATTGATTGATTGATTGATTGATTGATTGATTGATTGATCTTAAAAAAAAAAAAAAACACGAGCGCATAGGAGCGCAGCTGTGTGAAAACGCGTGCTCCCTCTGTCTCTCTGTCTCTCTCTTAGCGATGACGCATGCGCGCGAGCACGAGAGAGAGAGAGAGAGAGAGAGAGAGAGAGAGAGAGAGAGAGTGAGAAATAATATGTGCGCGGGTGTGGGCGTGTGGGCGTGTGGGCGTGTGGGCGTGTGGGCGTGTGGGCGTCTGTGGGCGTGTTTGTGTGTGTGTGTTTATGCGAGTGTATATGTGTGTGTGTGTGTGTGTGTGTGTGTGTGTGCGTTTGTGTGTGTTCGCACGTGTGTGTGTGTGTGTGTGTATTTGTGTGCATGTGTGCGTGAGTGAGTGTTTGTGTGTGTGTGTGTGTGTGTATGTTTGTGTTCGTGCATGTGTATGTGTTTATGTGTGTGCGTGTTTATGTGCATGTGTATGTATTTATGTGCATGCGCCTTCGGTGTTGGACCCGGAACGGGACCCCCAACGTCGGTACGTACTGTGGTCGGCTTGGGGACCTCCGTACGTACGGGTTGGTGACCCTGTATATATATATATATATATATATATACAATCAAACAGAGTTGCATGGTTACCAGGACAAACGTTTGGGGGCCCCGAGCTGACCCCCGAACGCTCGAGCGTTCAGGGTCCTGTTCGGGACCGCAACCGGAAGAGGTTCCCCACTAAAACTTAATTCGGGGCTTAAAAAATATATTTTTTCAAAGAATTGATTTATGTGAGTTTTGTATGACATACACTACATGCATATTAAGTTTGAAGTGATTTTATGAAGTCAAAACAAAATGAAAAATCCCCCAAAATAACAGTGTCGAAACGTGCTCGCCACTCAATTTTTTTTTTCTTCACTATTCACTTTTTGTTTTGATTTTATTTTGGTGTCTCAAATGTTGCATTGTTTTTTGATTTTTTTTTATAAGCTTTATACTATGTGAAATACACATCTGTGAATTTTCAGGGTATTTGGCTTTATCAGGAAAAAATTAAAAATCGCCAAAACTGGCGGTGTCGAAAACGTGTTTCCCCATTCACTAATTTTAGGTTTTTTTTTTTTTTTTTTTACTTTTCTAAAAAATTTTATTATGATTTATTTTTCGTATTTTATTTTTATTTCAAATTAAGTAAGGTGTTCGGGTGTAACATTAAGGCAAATGTTCTTCGTATTATTTTTTTGCATAACATTTTTTTTTTTACAGGTTTTGTAAACGTTTTTTATTTATTATTATTGTTATTATTATTTTAGGTCGGCTTTTGGTTCGAACAGCCGAACGCATCTCTAGGGGGGTGAACGTTCCGCTACTTCAGGTTCGCGAGTTTGGATGAGCCCGAACGCCGGCAACCCTATATATATATATATATATAAGGCCACCAAGCCGTGCGTATAGAGGTTTCGGGGCCAACCTTTGTACGTACGGGCGTTCGGGGTCCAGTTCGGGGTCCGAACCCGAAGTCGTTCGGCCCCCACCAAAAAATATTTTGGGGCTTAAAAATAATGGTTTTTTTTTTTTTTTTTACTTCTCTATGATGTGAGGTACAAGCCTATAAATTTTAAAGTCATTTTGCTAAGCCAAAAATAAATTCAAAATCACCAAAGATGAGCGGTGTCAAAACGGGTTCGCCAATCACTATTTTGTTTCTATTCACTCTTTACTTTTTGTTTCATATGATTTCGGGGTCTCGAAACTTTTATTAATTTTTTAAACTTGTTTTAAGTTTTTTCATTAATTTTTTATTATGTGAAGTACATATCCGATAATTTTCAGGGTATTTGACTTTGCTAAACAAAAATGAAAAATTACCAATGATAACAGTGTCAAAAACGTGCTCGCGCACTCACTAATTTTATTTTTTTTTTTACTTTTTTTTATTTTTATTATTAGTATTATTTTCCATATTTTATTTTTATTTCACAGTTAATAAAGGATTTAAATGTAATGCTCAGACAAATGTTATTTATTTATTTATTTTTCGTGATATTTTTTATTTTTATATTTTTTGACATTTTTTATTTTTTTTATTTAGTTTTTATTCTTTTTGGGTCTGCGTTCGGCCCGAACGTTCGAACACGTCTCCAAGGGGTCCCGTACGTCTAGGCGTTCCGGTCTGGGCGTTTGGCCCATCCTGAACGCCGGCTATATATATATATATATCGTCACAAATATATATATATATATATATATCGTCAAATAGAACTGCCCGGTAAACCGTAGGCAGAGAGGGAGAAGAGGACAACAAACGAGGGGTTGT